GAAGAGTGCTTATGAGATTGATGATATCCATGTGCAATTTTATCTTACTGGTGATGTCAGGTGAAGAAAATAAAGCAACACTCCTTGAACTTGGAGCAGTGGAACCCTTAACCAAACTCCTCACCCATGAAGATAAAATTGTAAGAAGAAATGCCACTATGATATTTGGAATCCTAACTTCTAACAGTAAGTATCAACTTTTCTGTCTCATCAACCTAGATTATGATAACAGTAATACTAATTAACACTTCTATAGCACTTAAAATGCACCAGGCATTGTTGTAAGTGCTATTTAGATACTCATTTAATCCTAACAAACAGCCCTGAGAGGTAGGTGCTATTTTTATTCCTGTTAAAAGAAGCAACTTAGGGCCTGGGGATATAGCTCAGCAGCATAAGCACTTGCCTGGCAAGCCTGAGGTCATGAGTTCGATTCCCGGTACCAAAAAAAAAAAAAAAAAAAAAGAAAAGAAAAAAAGCAACTGAGGCACAGAGAAGGGAGTAATCACTTATATTGTGAAGCCATCACCAGTTTATCTCAAAGATTGCTTGTGTTAGCACTGTATCAATTATATAACCAACAACCAAAAGGAGAAAACTGGTAACCCAGAAAGGAAACATTTAACATGTCTTGTGTTTCATTCTGTTTACACAGCACAAAATCTGAGAAACAAAGATATTTGTAATGTGTATTATGTAACACTTCATTTTAAATTTAAAAGAGACCCCTCAAAGGATTAAGTTATTTGCCTAATGTCATAGAGATGGCTAATAGTAGATCTGAGGTTAAAGCTAAACTAAAGCTTTATTTTCTGGCTCATAGTTTAATAGACTTTCTCGTCATCAAATCTTGTATGATCCTAAGTTAGTTTCTCCTTCTAAATGATTTTGTTGAAGAATGCATCTCTTCTAAAAAGCAGAGTTCTAATTATCTGTTTACACTTATATTTTCTAATTTAAACTTTAGGTCTCCATACTTTCCTGTTCACTTTGTTCTTAGTTTCTGTTATTCATTGTGTTTATGCATCATCTCCCAAGATATAAGGCATTTATAATCCGAGGAGCTCTCTAACTTGTTTACAAAAATTTTCCTGAGCAGAGTATATACACTGAATTTCATGAGGTTCTAAAGACGTCTGTGACCCAAAACTATTAAGAGTCACTGTTGCATTTGGGTGCTGAGGAAGATGGCTCTCAGGGACCTCTGGGGCCTACTCTAAGCTGACTGTCCCACTGGGTCAGGAGGCTCCATGTCTGCAGTGCCAATCTTGTGGATGGAGGAGCCCTGCCACCATTGTTTCTCCAGTATTTGGATCTTAAGGATGACTATTCAACCTCTGAAAGCTTTCTTTCCATTCCATGAATTGGATGAAAAAATTGAACCACTGTTTGAATTAACCTGACTGCTTTCAATTTGAAGTGTCTGATGATGTGGTTAAAACACATGGCGTCCCTAACTGCTTGTAAAGTGCTTTTCTTTCTTAACAGAGCCAACACATTAACAGCTATTGCTTCACTTTTCATACATGTCCAAGAAAACTTGGAATAAAAACTGTGCATTTAGTCACTTGATCCAAATGAAAAGTCTTGTTTCCAGACAAATATGTGAACAAATGCACCTCTGCAGCTGAAATCACCATCACTGGTGTCTTAACAATAACTAGCTCCTTCAGAAATTTGTGTCTTCATATAGTTTCCATGCCTTCACTGAAACCACTGTGTTCATAGAGGATCATTCTAATGATCCTACAGAATACCAAGGGCTAAGTTCCCTTTTGCAAATGTAAACATTCTTCTTTCCTTCTTTCTTGTGCTTGAACTATGTCAAGCTGGGGTCAAGACAGGAATTTAATTAATTCGTTAAACTTTTGTTCTTTACCAAGATGGAGCTACTGTCTCCTTTCACCTTCCAGTTTACACTTAGTTCAACAACACCACGTAACAGAGACTGGCTGAATGAAGTCAGCTAAGGGAGGGTTCACAAGAATTCATGTAGAAATGGCCCTGGAAACCCAGATGTTACCTCACACAAGGCAATTGGAAGAGCTTGGCATCTTATAAAGCCATTAATATAAGAGTGTACAAGCTCAAGAGAAAATAGATGGCCAGTATGATGCAAGCAAAATAAGTACATAAGAATGCAACCAAAACAGATGACAGGCAGGGGGCCCAGGAAGGAAAGTTGCTGGCACTTCTAAAACAACCCAGAATTGTAGGTGGCACCCTGTTTAGGCAGAATGTGTTCATGCAGCCCAACCACAAGTCAGAGTTTCCATTCAGTTGCCATATCTGAGAGTGTTTTCTGTTGAAAAAAGAAAGGGACACAGACTGTGTTTAGAGTGATGGAAATAGACACCCATTATTTTTGCTGGTTTAACCTCAAGACAAGAAAGACTCTTTGAAGAGTCTGGTGTTAAAAAGCAGAATAATATCGATTAACTGTGTCATCAGATTACAAGAGCTGCCGGTGAGCTGGAATCGTCCATTGAACCGTAAGGAAATGGTTTCGAGGAGAGACCTACTAGAGCTGTTGATGAATGTTGCTTGCCTTTTGGGCTAAACTCAGATCTAGAAGGGAATTTCATGGCCTAAAGAATTCTCTGGCAAAAACTTTTAGCTTGTTTGGCCAGACCAAGGTGGTGTCACTTGAGGATGCAAGATTCATTCAACCCTGTAGCCCTTCCCAATGGGAGTCTGTCACCCCGACAAACATCAGAGTGTACAGAGCAGGAATCTTCCTGACCTCACTTCAGTGTTGGAGTAGCAGATTCTGAAGTATATGGAAGTATTTTATATACCATGTGGGGAATGTGCCTGGAAATCTAACAGCCCAGAAACATTTTTTCAAGCATGTACTAATAGAAGACTTTGATATAGTTCCACAAAAATCTTTATAGTAATACAAACTGAACTCAGGAGAGAATAACAGTGTTTGCTTTCAGAGAGCATACTCTGTTCAGCTCACCAAACCCTTGAGAAGTTCTAAGTACTATTCTATGGCTACTATTTCTCAATCCATGGAGGTAATGTATTTTTAAAAAATGAGTGTTCACCATAAAATAACATCCTTTACCCCTGAACACTGTGTCTCCTATAAGTCAATAATTATTTTGTATTTCAAGTCTATTTATACTTGACTGTGATTTTCCTCGACCTGTTAGCCACTTTGAACAGAAACAGGAAGAAGTTTTGGCAGGTTAAAGGAAAGCCATAGCTCTGAATTCCTTTGGAAAAGGGATCCAGTACAAGCCATGTATAACCAGCAATTAATGAGGAAGAATTCATCCAGAGTCCATGTGTTTCAGCTGCTGCAAAGTGAACTTTTCCAAAATTCTGGTAGTGCTAATTTTGGCTTTTTCAGATAACTGATCAAGAGGAGAAACTGCAAAACTGAAAGGACAGACACTTTATTTCTCAGAAGTGAGATAAAGGATAGCAAAAAAAGAAGTGGAGGGAGACCAGTCCACCCTTAATTAGACTAATAAAAATCATATGAAAGTAAACTTTAGAACAACCAATACACTTATCTTTAGCATTCTTGGCATTTGCAATAATTAAATAGAAAGGAGACAATCAAGATGTGTTCACTGAAATAGGCTATGGTCATTCTTATTTGCATTCTGTACGTTTTATTAACATCAAAGTTCATAAATACCTTCTCAACAAAACAAGCAAACAAGAAGAACTATTGTTTTATAATAAACAAGGGTTTCTTTACTGATCCATGCTCTAGTCACATTTTGTACTCTTATGGTTTTTGTGTTGTGTTTGGAAGGCAGCATAGTCAGCGATCAAGGGGTGTGACTTAGAGTCCGTGCAGGGTCACACTGACCTCAGCAGGAAACCTGGCTCCATTACTTATTTGTTGTGTGATTTGGTAATTCAATTTCTGTACCTGTGAAACTGGATAATGATAGGACACATCTGTTAAGGGATAACTGTTCAACAGACACTGCCATCATTATTGTTAATAAATAACAATGTTCTCTTTCTTTGTAGATGATGTTAAAAAATTGCTAAGGGAGTTAGATGTCATGAATTCTGTGATTGCCCAGCTCACTCCAGAAGGTAACTTTGCATCCTACATCTACTGCAAAAATTGAACTGGTTTCTTTTTAACTTTGTATTAAATTATATATTGAAAATAGCTCAGAGGTATCAGTTGTGAGTTGTCATTAAAATGTCACAAACCTTGGCTCAATTTTGACTTTTTAAAAAGGTGAACAGTAAGCAAGATTTGCAGAGCTATGGCTTTTTAAAGCGTATTTGAAAGTAGAGAGTGAATAAACATTTAACAGACTTGTCTTATTTATTTTTTGATGCACAGAAGAAGTAGTTATCCACGAGTTTGCTAGTCTCTGCCTAGCGAACATGTCCATAGAGTATACCGGTAAAGCGCAAATATTTGAACACGGTGGATTGGAGCCACTCATCAGACTACTGAGCAGTCCCGATCCTGATGTGAAGAAGAATTCTATTGAATGCATTTACAACTTGGTACAGGTAAAATTAACTTCTAAAAGCTGCTTTGATGGGTGGGTTTATAGCTCAGTGGTAGAACACTTGCCTAGCATGCATGAAACCCCGGGTTTGATCCTAATTATAAAATTTATTTTCCTATTGAGGAAGATATTTTTTAAAGCTCGCCCAGTTCTGTATCATCAGTTCCTAGTACATTTAGTATTTATCACTCAAAAAAAGTGAAAGTTTAGTGTCATTTCAATTTTCATATTTTACAAGTAGTTGTCTCCCACAGAAGAGTCTGCTAGAAATGTAAAAAAAAAAAAATGGTATGCAGGTTAAGGTGGGATTAGTGTAGATAAAATGTGCTTGTTCTAGAATTGGAAATCTAAGATTCATATTGAACCTGGGAAGGGGCCGTTTGAGCTGATCCTGGTGGTTTTAGCACATTAGGTATAACCTATGCCCTTTGGATTAGACTAATTTAGGGTGAGAATCCAGTGATCTAAGTGTACTGAGCAGTATTCACTGCTCACAGTAGCAAGATGCTTACCTCATGGAGACTGTTTTCTTTAGAGTGGAAACTGCCACCTTCCCCTCCCCCACTGTCTTGTCCTTTGAACCCCACTCCTCCAGCCCCGCTCCACACCCACACCCACACACCCACAGCAGACCAGTTTCCTGAGTCTTTTAACAACCTCCTCTGCTTCTTTTCCTGTTCAAGTTCCTTAGCAATCACCACATGTGTCTGATAAGCTTTATATCAGCTGAAAACAGAAAAACACCGTGTAAATAGCCATCAGTAGTGTGAGAGAGGAAGAGCGAGATGGAAGCAAGAGTGGGGGAGAGAAAGAGGTTGACAGGCGAAGTACCTGTACCTGGGCTCAACAGAATCCCAGCCTTAGCATCTCCGGCAACCTGACTTTTAGGGCCCTCGCTCCTAAAAGTAAGGAGGCAGGTCAACTCCTTTCTGGCTTCTCCAGTCACTTTGGCTAGACCTGGCCAAGCAGGCTTTAAAGTTCCTGTAAGTACCCCCAGGTTTTAATTTCCTAAGTCCTTTTAGCCATATTTCCCCATATATTTTTTAATCAAGCAGAAATGAAAAGCATTACCTGCACAGTTCGTAATAACAAAGTACTAGTTAGTAGCACTTCATGATGTATATATCACAAACTAGATGGCTTAAAATGACAGGAAGTCACAGCAATGAGGACAAAAGTTCAAAATCAAGGTGTCGGTAGGGTCATACTCTGAGACGGGGGGGAATCCTTCCTCACCTCTTCCCAGCTTCTGCAGTGACTATCAGGTTGGTGCTCCTGGGCTCACTATGTTAGCACTCCCTCTCTCCCCTTACCATTGCTTTTCTAAGGAAACCAACCCTATAAGGACACCATGAAGGGCCTGCCCCACTCCATGATCACATCTCACCTACAACCTCAAGGACTCTGTTTCCAATTAAGGTCACATTCTAAGGGGCTGGAGACTCAGCTCATTCCACAACAAAGAGCAACCTACAACTTTTATATCTGAAGGAAGCTTATTGGTAGAGGTCAGTTAAAGAATGGATAGGGGAAAGGAAATCTGTAAGCGAGACCTTTTCTACCTTTAGCACTATTTTATATTTATCACATTTTGAGGCAAAAAAATATCATGATTGAGTAGTCATAGTTTGGGATTTTTTATGATTTCATTCCATTTTTCTTACTGTTCCTCCCAGCTAATAACCCCTCCACACATGCTCCCCCACAAAATTAGTGATTCAGATGCAGAACAACTTGTCTAGACTAGAATAACCCCTTAATATCTTAAGGAAAGGTCATGTATCTGGACTATGCCTGATATAAATTTACATTCATAAAGCCTTTCAATAGCACTGCATGCAGATAGGCATTTCATAAACAATCTATTTGAAGATAAGGGTTGATACCATGATTTCATTTTATCAAATACTATTTGAAGCAGTATATCAGAGTGTGAAAAGAATTGTATTATGCATAGATTTTTATTGTAACAATATTTGTAGTAATAGGAATTTGCTGCATAAAAAACAAGATCCTGCAAAAGCCACAGATCATGTTTACTTCCTGTTGTTGACAAAGTCTGCAAAGTTAGAAATGAATGTTTTGATCTTGTCAGTTGAAAGTTTTCTTATCTTCGTGAGTTATTTTAGAAGAGAATCTGGAATAAAAGATGGGAAAATTGTAATTTATAATGTTGTTGGCTAGAAAATAGAATTTCTCCATTCTTGAGACTGTATTTTGCTTTAGAAATTACTGATATGATCATTTGTATTTCATGGCAGGATTTTCAGTGTCGAACTACGCTTCAAGAACTAAATGCAATTCCTCCTATATTAGAGCTCTTGAAATCAGAATATCCAGTTATTCAGCTGTTGGCTCTCAAAACTTTGGGTGTTATTACAAATAATAAGAAGTCCCAGGCAATGCTAAGAGACAGTCAAGGACTGGACCAGCTTATTAAGATCTTGGAGACCAAGGTAATGATCATTCATTTCTGTCGGGGGGAGCATCTCTCTCCTAAACATTATATAATATGAACTATAGCATATTTTCAAATGAAATTTTATAGTTAAGCATGATACAATGTATAATGGAGTAATTGGTTAATTTCTACATAAAGTTGACTAGCCTGATTAAATCAGACTAATTGTAGAGGTCATTTGAAACTAATTTTTCTTTTAAAAAAAAAGTCTTCTGCCTTAGAAGATTTAAAATGCTTAAACAATTTTGTCTATTATTTTCCTGATTTTCTGAAACATTTAGAATTAGTCTCCTAACATTTATTGATAATGATTTTCTCTGGGATAGGGCAAGAAAAGTAATTTACTATCTAAAGTAAATTTTTGAGAAATATTGGAGTGGAATTTCCATAGTTTCTACTAAGTTCCTTAGTAATAAATTTCACACTTTAAAGATCTGTATACCTTTTTCTAGTATATCCCAGCTGTAAAAACCAATCTAGCAGTTTATTGAATACCATTTAATTGTCTTGAAGTGATTCTGATAATTTCTGAAAGTGTCTACTGCCTTAACTCCAGAGTGAACCCATTCAATGCTTCACTTTAATAGTTTATTAAATTAAATTAACTCTAATGACAAAGTCTCCTCTTATGCTTCTTAAAAATTCAGGAGGCAGGAGCAGATCAAAGGAGATTAAAGGTTCCCTAAGTAATAACTGCATACTATCCAATCACTAGTTTTTTTTCCCAAAAAACTAAATGTCAGAGCTTACTAATACACTACTGGAAAAATAAAGTAAAATATAAAGGAGAAATTCAGACACAGGCATATTTCTCAACCATGTAAATCTATCTACTGTTGATTATTTGATCAATATATGTGCCAGCCTTTGTGTTAAGCATTTTACCTTTGTGATTTAGAATCCTAATAACACCATATAGTAATAGGTAGTTACATTTTATCCTATTTTTAAAACACAAACAGAAATCAAAGGGCTTACTTAATTTTCCTATGTGACATAGACAGAAAGTGATTATAGGAATCACTTAGATTTGTCTGATATATCATGGAATTTTCACCTGTCTGATATTTTACTTCTCCTATTTTCATCAAAAAAGGGAGGGATAGGAACATCTAGTGCATGGGAGGCATAGTACAGATAGTTTACATTTTTTATTTACTTCCTAATTCAAGAACATAATATTTTTCTATAAAATGAGAATAAGGATAATGCTTGTATCCTTGTATAATCACATAATTATTATATCATTAGTCCCATTTTACAGCTTGCTTCCTTCCTTTCTTCCTCCTTCCTTTCTTCTTTCCTTCCTTCCTGCTGTTTGACATGTTAATGTAATTTTTAATATTATGTTTTAATTTCTTTGCTGGCTTTCTTATTAAATTTTTCTTAACAGTTGGCCTGCTGATTACAATATAGAATTTAAACTTATCTTAGTCTATATAGAATTGTTATTGACTGGTCCAAGTAAAATACTGAAACTTCGTAGCATTATATTTCTATTTACTTTTCCTATTCTGAATACTACTTTTGTTATATAGTTTATATCTGTGGACATTACAAACTCAACAATGCAGCATAATCAGTTTTTGTCTTGAACTGTCCTATATTGTATGTGTTTTAAGGGAATTAAGAAAGGAAAATTACATTTCTACATGTGTGTGTAGAGTCTTACTGATATTTTGGTGTTTTTTTTATATCTACCAATATGTTCAGTGTTTCTAGTGTGGTTCATTATTTCCTGTGCTTCCAGGTTGCCATCTAGGCCATTTTTCTTCAGTCTGAAGAACTCTATTTACCAATTCTTATAGTGCAGATATGCTGGCATAGATTATCTCAGTTTTTAAATTTATTTTAAAATGTTTTCCTTTTACTCTCACAGTTATGAATATATTTTTGTTCACTGTGAAATTCCTGTTGGCATATTTCTTTTTCTATTTAGAACTTTTCTATTTCTTCTGAGCATCATTATTCAGCCATTAAAGAGTTGGGGAAGTGTTGCAGTGGTAATGTGCTTGCCTCACATGTGTGAAGGCCCTGGTTTCAATTTGGGTACCACACAGGAAAGAAAGAAGGAAAGAAAGAGAGAAAGGAAGGAAGGAAGGAAGGAAGGAAGAAGAGAGAAGGAGAGAAAGAAAGAAAAAAGAAAGAAGGACGGAAGAAAGAAGGGAGGGAAGAAGGGAAGGAAGGAAGGAAGGAAGGAAGGAAGGAAGGAAGGAAGGAAGGAAGGAAGGAAGGAAGAAAGGAAGTAAGAAAGAAAGAAAGAAAGAAAGAAAGAAAGAAAGAAAGAAAGAAAGACTATTTCCCAAATGTAAGGTGTCTTTCTGCTGTTTTTGAGATTTCTGTCCTTATCTTTGCATTCTGCATTTTTGCTCTGCATATCAGTTGCATAATTTGTATGCTTTGATTTGGGTCCATAGATCTTTAGATTTGTACAGTAATGCTTTCCACTAAATATGGGAATTTCATTCATTATATAATTTTTTCCTTCTGCTTCTGTCCCTCTAGGACTCAATTATACTTATGTTGTCCTGCTTGATATGATTTTGTAAGACTCTAAAGTTCTGTTCATTTTTCTTTTATTTTTTGATTAATTTTTTAATGTGCATTCAAGTTCTCATTCTTTTGCCATCTTTAATCTGATGTTAAGTACACTTGGTGAATTTTTGCTTTTAGTTTTGTGCTTTTCAAGTCTTAAATTTTCATTTTTACATTTCATATCTTTTAAGCTTTCTTCTTTGAATGTATTCGTAATAGCTGCTTTAAAGTCTTTAACTGTTTATTCTAATAACTTATCCTATCTGCTGTAGGTTTTCAGTGACTGCTTTTTCATCCCAGAATTAAATTCATACTGTTCTGTTTCTTTACATGTCTAGTAACTTTTGGTTCAAAATGAACATTGTAGATAATATATTTTAGTGATTCCAGATTCTTTTGTATTCTGAGGATTATTAATATTTTGTTTGAATAGGTCATTAGCTGCAAACTCTCTGTCTCTCTTGTGGGGTGCAACAGCTGGTATCACTGCTCTGTTCCTAGGATTTCTTTTTACTGTTGTTTTTATTTAGCCTGACTCCAAGGGTCTCCTCGGTATTTCTGAGGTCACCCATGGATATGGGAAGAATATTTTTTTGTTGTTTTGTTTTGTTTTTTTTTTTTCCAGTACCAGGAATCGAACTCACGACCTTGCACTTGTCCGGCAGGCGCTGTGCCACTGAGCTAAATCCCCAGCCCCCTGGGAAGAATATTAACACCAGATTTGAAGGCTCGCATTTTTGGTTACCTTCCTTCTGGTATTAAGTTTGTGGATCATCTCTTAGCTGCAGGCTCTCACCTCTGATAGTTTAAGCCAGTAAAGCTTCATTCTGCTCTCTTCCAGCTGAATTGCACAGGTTTGAGGAAGGCAGTCTATTTGAAAAGCAGCAAAGTAAAAGATATTACCCAGTACTTCCCCGCTTAAGGACCTTAGAAGGGCTCTTGTGCGTCCTCCATGCATATATGGTCTAATGGTCAGCCAGAGGTCTGGGCATAATTTATACTCAGATTTTTGGTCGTACTCTATTAGTGAGTGTTCTTCAGAGAAATAGAATGGATAATTAGGGCGTTGGCTTAATCAGTTTTAGAAAGTTAGCAAGTCCAAAAGGCAATTTACTAGCAGAGTTTTCCCTATTTCCAGGAAGTCAGTGTTTTTTCTATAATGGCCTTGAACTGACTGAATGAGGTCCACTTGCATTATAAGAGTAATCTGCTTTATCCAAAGTCTATTAATTTAAATATTAATCCCATCTAAAAATTATCTGTACAGAAATTCTGAATAGTGTTTGAGCAAATATGTGAGTTCTGTGGCCTAGCCAAATTGATACATAAAAATCAACCATTATAAGTTTATTTCTTATCAATTTAGTACATATATATCCTCTTAAGTCATATTTAATCTCTAAGGAAAGGCAAGGATAGAATAATGCATATACACAACATGATACAACTATCCTACATCCAACCAAAAATATATTAACTCTTTCCCTATAAGAGGATGCAAAGTCCTCTGCTGATATTTACTCTTTTCACTGATCTTCAGGGACTCAAATAAAATAAAATTCACCAAAATGAATTATTATATTATAAAGTTAGTACAGCTCATATGGCATGATAAGTGGGTATATATTATACTTAATATTTATATATAAGTATATGTACACTCCTCCATCAACAAACCCACAAACTCTACCAGCTTTCTTCTAGCAGCTGCAGATTTTAAGGAACACTTTTTCCTTCAGGTTTTCTCTGCTGTTTCCAAAAACATTTTCACCAGATTTTAGAATTGTTTTTGGTAGAAGGTTATATGACCAATGCCCCTTGGTTATCATTAATGGAAATTTCCTCAATAGCATTATTTTTCATCCATAAAACACTTTAGAGTAAGAGAAATGGGCAAAGATGGGGCAAATGGCTAGGTGCAGTGATGTTGCATTGATAAACAACTCTTCCTTCCTACAGCCCCACTCACAATAGAATTACATTATATTCTCACTAAGCTCAGTTCCTCTCATACCAAAATTTGCAAAGGGCAAATTTCTTTTACTACAACTTCCTAAAGTTGTGTCTGTTTTTATTACTAGGAACTGAATGACCTTCATATAGAAGCACTTTCCGTGGTGGCTAATTGCCTTGAAGATCTGGATAGCATGGTGCTGATTCAGCAGACAGGGGGGCTTAAAAAGCTCCTAACATTTGCGGAAAGCTCTACGATTCCTGATATTCAGAAGAATGCAGCAAAAGCAATCGCTAAAGCAGCTTGTGACTGTATGTCTCATTTTATATAAATTAACCATACATTTTCCTCTGACAGTCCTAATTTTGATTACTATTAGAAAACACTAGAGTACGAGTTTGCTATTAACCTTTGAAGAACAACAGTATATTTACTGCTGAAGGCCAAAACTCATCCTATTGCCAATGAGTTAAAGATTTCTTAGGAATGTAATAAACTCCATATGATTTAATTAGAATCCTATGTTTAAATTAAGTTGCAAGCTTTTACTTTTCTTACGTTTAGAACAATACAGAAAATATACATTGTTTGTATGTTTCAAGAAACCCCCATTCAGAATGAGGTCAACAAGGTAATTTCTAGTTTTAGCAAGAGTCTAGCAGTGCCACTTTATACAGCCATGAAAAATAATATGCTCATATGATACACATGATATGATTTTCATTTCAGTGACAAGCTATGTTGACATAAATCTGTAAGATACGAGTGATTAAGTACATCTCATGCAGTGGAGGTGAAATTATAGTTTTAATTTATGTATATTTTGAGTATCTTATTTAATAAAAAGATGTGATTTTATTTTTCCCCTTCTGTATCACTACTCTTATAAATGATGACAGCTTTGGCTATTTTAAGTGACATATTCTAAATGTATATATTCACATCTCTATATATGTCTATGTGTATATTGTGGAAAACATTTTTTGCAGCCCCTACTGGATTTCCTCAAGGTCAGGCTTTAATGTAGCAGGCAGGATTTCACTGTCTGCTGCAGGGTCAACATAGAGGGCCCTTATGACTTACATTATCAATGCCAAATCTAAAGACAGGCTGTGAATTAAGGTTTTTGATATTGGAAAAAGTTGGGTTTATTTAGTGTTCTGTCAAATGGAACCTGACTCTCTCATCGCTGGTTAGTTCTTTTTTCTTTTTATTCCAAGATTCTTAGCTAATTAAGACCCAAAGAGAGATGTAACAGAAAACATGGACAATGTCAAGCTTAAAGTGTTTCCATATCGTGGCTTTTCTGTGATCATTCTAGGTCTGTCCCAGCCCCTCTTGGGGCAGTGAGGTTTATGTTTACCTGTATGTGACATAGCATGCGAAAACACAGAACAAAGCATGCTTGGTGTTTTCGTTCCAACCCTAGTTCTACTATTGGCACAGCAATAAATTAGTCAGGTGCTTATGCATGAACTACAATCTCTCCAGACATATTTATTAGTTCATTTTATTCATGATGTACTGAGCTCCCAATTTCTAACGATAAACCTAAAACAGGCAAGCATCAGGGAAACCCAATACATCAAAGATGCTTGATGATAGAAACACAGGGTCACCTAGGAAGGGTACCTAGTGCAGACTTGGGTCAGAGAAGTCTCTTGGGATTGGATTTACACTCTATGACCTAGAGTGAATCATAAAAGTTGGTGGGCTGAAGAAAGTCTGAGAGGGATGAAAGAAAATCAGCAATTCTCTAAGAAGGGAGAGTTGTGTAGAAGGAAGTTGTATAAGAAGGCCAGAATGTGGCAAGTTCCAGAACTGAAGGTGTTGGGAATGGCTGGAGAATACACAGTGCTGTAGAAAACAGATTTAAGGCTGTATAAATAGTGAGGAGCAAATGGTAATGGGCATCATAAGCCGAGTTAATTAATTGCAAGGAAGAACCACTGAAAAGACTTAGGGGAGAGAACATTATAGCTTTTCACTTTAAAAAAAAGGACATATTTACTGCAAAGTGAGAAGAGACTGGAAGGACCAGGTACAAAAGATCAAGCAGGGGGTTACTGTGGTATGCTCAGTAAGAAATGAAGCTGCTCTGACAGAAAGACAAAACCACATGTCCTTACTTATATACAAAAGCTGAAAAGTTGACCTCATAGAGTAGAGAACAGAACTTTGGTTGCCAGAGCCTGGGAAGGGAATGGAGGTGGGGGCGGGTAGAGAGAGGACAGTCGGGGGTACGGGAAGATATTGGAAAGGAGAAATAACTTCTGCAGTTCTCTAGAGCACAGCAGGATAACTACGGTTAACAATAATTGAATATTTCAAAATGGCTTATAGAAAGGATTTTGAATGTTCTCAACACGACATCTGGAGTGGTAGATATATTAATTACCCTGATGTGATCATTACACGTTATACATTGTACACATTGAAGTATCACATGGAATCCTTAAATAAGTACATTAGTGTGTGTCAATTAGAATCATCTTCAAAAAATATTCCATCCTCCTATTTTGACAAACATTTATGCATGGCAAACAAACCCAAAGACATATATATTGTTTTTACATGAATAGAAGTTGGTAAAATAGAGAGAGAGATACATAAAGAGGGTGCTCTGGCACAGAGACGTGGTGGCTGGAGAGTGCTCTAGGCATTCTGCAAGGAGAAGCACCAGCACAGTTCTGGGCACATTATGAAGAGTCCACAGTAAAGGGGAAGGTTGAGGGAGAGAGAAGGCAATACCAAGGATGAGGCCAGGCGTCTGAGGTGGACAGCTGGGCAAAAGTGTTACAACTCCCAGAAGTGGACAAGTCAAAAGGAAGAGCAGGTTTTAATCAAAGGAAAAGAAATGCTTCATTTTTTCCTTTTTAAAACTTGTGATGAAATATTTATAATATGAAATTGACCCCTGTAGCCACCTTAAGTGCACGGACAGTGGCATTAAGTACATTCCCACTGCAGTGCTACCATTGGTTCACAGAACTCTTCATCTGGCAAAACTAAAATTTGATACTAATTAGACAGCAGCTCCCTACTTCCACCTCCCACCAGTTCCTGGCAGCCACCATTCTATTTTGTATCTCTGAATTTGACTGTTCTAGGTAGTTCATGTCCCTGGAATCATACAGCATTGGTCCCTTTATGACTGTGTAGCATTTAGCATAGTGTCCTGAAGATTCATCTATGTTGCAGCATGTATCAGGATTCTTTTTGCTTTTTAATACTGTATAATATTCTACTATATATGTTTATGTATGTATGTGTGTACATACATATATATCCTACATATTGTTTATTCATTCAGCCAGTGGTGGGTAGTTGGGTTGCTTTTGCCTTCTGGATATTGTGAATAACGGTACTATCAACATGGGTAAAAAAATATTTCTTTGAGTCTATGCTTTCAGTTCACTGCATGTATGTACCTGGAAGTGGAATTGCTGGCTAGGTTATACAATAATTCTATTTTTAAGTTTTTGAGGAGCTGCTAAATTGTTTCCCATAGCAGTTGTACCATTTTTTATTCCCACCACAGACAGTGCAGAAAGGTTCCTGTTTCTCCACATCCTGGCCTACACTTCTTTCCTGTGTTTAATATGGGGAGTATTGCCCTGTGGTTTTGATTTGCTTTCCCCCAATGATTAGTTATGTTAAGACCTTTTCATTATTAGCTACTTGTATATTTTTTGGAGAAACATCTCCTCAAATTCTTTGCCTATTTTTAATTGGTTCACTTGTTTTTTTATGTTGACCTGTAGGAGTTTTTTATATAGTCTAGATATTAATCTGTTATCAAATATATGATTGGCAAATATTTTCTCTCATTCTGTGGATTGCATTTTCATTCTACTGATTGTATCCTTTTGTGCACATGAGTTTTTCGTTTTGAAGTAGTCTAATTTATCTATTTTTTTTTCTTTTGTTGCTTTTGCTATGTATCACCAAATTTAGCGTTATAGAGTCCCTCCCTTATTCCAAGAATTTTATAGTTTTAGCTCTTACATTTAGGTCTTTGATCTTTGATCTGTTAATAATTAAGAGATCTGTTTGATCTCTTAATTTTTGTGTATGGTATAAGGGAAGTATCCAACTTTATTCTCTTGCATGTAGGTGTCAAATTTTCTAGCATCATTTGTTTAAATCTATTTTTTATCTGTAACACGAAGTAATTCAAATAAATAGTCTCTAAGTCCTTCCTGGCACTTAATGTTTTTTGATTCTGCTTCCTTATGTTAGTTCTAAAATAACTATATTCCAGCTTCAAATCGTGTCTCAGTCTTTATTTTAGAATCTAGTGACTAAATCTGTATTCATTTCGTCTATGTCATTTGTGATGGTATCATGTGTCCTTCAGCTACAACTTTTTCAAACTTAAGGATCCTTTTCTTATTTAATCTGTCCCAGGATGGAACGTCCTTAGGCTATCCTGTGATCATTCATTCTTACCTCTTCTGAGCTTCCTTTTATTTTTATGAACAGTATTGTAAAAATAGGCACCATCATTTTTACAATATAAAGATGGGTTATTTTGTGATTGTTTTCCATTTCAGTCTTATGAAACAATTATTTTTAATCAATCTCTGCATATATTGGACCAAACCTTTGAGGAAAAGGCCTGTGGTGAACAGTGGGGCCCTTTTTCTAGTTGAAAATTTTTTTTCAACTTTTGAAAAATTTTTTCAACTAGAATTTAAAATAAAAGACTGTGAGCTGCGGGTCTTGACTAGAAGACCTGCAATTCACAGTCTTTCATTTTAAATTCTAATACTTTTTCTTTGTGTTTTTGAAAATGCAGTTTTTTCTTTAGGAGTAGTATTGCATTTTCTTTGAGGCCTGGAAAATAATCAGTCTACACAAGTGATCTTTTAAGCCTTGAAGAGATACACTAGCTTGTAAATTAACAAATGTTTATTATATGTGTGCTGCATGCAAGGCACTGTTCCACAAGGTAAGGACAATGAAAGTGATGAATGGATAAATGGTTGTTGAAAAGACAAATAAATGTATTTCCTGTACAATATAGACTTTGAGGTTAATCTTTTAGTTCACCTTCATAAATTACATTGTATGGTTCTTTTTGTCCTTCTTTGTTGTTTTATCTACAAGATCTATAGTGGTGTATCAGGAGTTTCCTGATGCATTATTTCTGTAAATTTTCTCTAATAACTTTGCTTTACTTCATCATGTTTTATATCCACTACTGACCATGTTTTTAAAAATTGCAATCGCCGTCCTTGAGCTTTAGATTCTAATTTGATATTAAGATTGGCATGTATTACTAAAAGTGGTCTTGGCAGAAAATAGT